AATCCTAGCACTCTGGGAGGCCGAGGCAGGTAGACTGCTCAAGGTCAGGAGTTCAAAACCAGCCTGAGCAAGAGCGAGACCCCCGTCTCTACTATAAATAGAAAGAAATTAATTGGCTAACTAATATATATAGAAAAAATGAGCCGGGCATGGTGGCGCATGCCTGTAGTCCCAGTTACTCGGGAGGCTGAGGCAGCAGAATTGCTTGAGCCCAGGAGTTTGAGGTTGCTGTGAGCTAGGCTGACGCCACGGCACTCACTCTAGCCTGGGTAACAAAGTGAGACTCTGTCTCAAAAAAAAAAAAAAAAAAGTTTGTATGAAAAGAAACTCCAGTTTTTTATTCTACTCCTGCGTTTTGTAAAATCTGGGGTATTTAAAAAATTAAATCCCGAGTAGAATAAAGGAATCCAGAAAAAAGTGAGTGCAAAGGGTTAAACACACTTGATTAATGACAACCTAAGCTTTAATATCTAAGTTTGTAAAAGTTATATTCAAATCCTAAATGAGTCAATTTTTCACCATCTGACCCCTGTATATTACATGTCCCTGGATGATAAGCCAGTAGAAATGTTAATCAATCATCTGGGCTGGCATCCACCTAAAACCAGCAAGTTTCAGAAAACCACTTAAAATAAAAGGCAATGCATAAATAAGTCAAATTTCTCTTTTATTTTAGAGTCTCATGCCCTACCCCCCTTAGCTTTAATACTCACAGCATTGTACAGAAGGAACCAAATTAAAACAAGGATTGAAATTTTTAGGATGTAATAATTTTAGAGCTTAAATAAAACACATCTCCATAACAAAGAGAATAATCATCAAATTATTGGTACTATAATCTATAGCTACAAAATTGTATACTTGTTTTTGAGAAAGACACATCCCCTATGGATGAACCAATATCCCATTTTTAAGTCCACTCTATAGAATTTTGGGCATCAAATCAAAAATTCAGGAAGCGGAATTTAGCCAGTAATTACTAAGAGGCATGATTAAAGGAAAATTTGGAACAAATATAACCCTCATGTCTTAGTTGGCAGAGAATATTTAAAAAAATATTCAAGAATCAGAAAGCAAAGAAGTGAATCCAGAAATAAAAGAGGAGACTATAATGAAATCCTAAGCAATTCTCAAGGTACCTGCTTAATTGATATGTTTGTTTGCCTAATGAGCTTTCGAACTTGCTAGAGCTGAGAAGTCAGCTGAATGGAAAGAGGATGGGAATCTGTGATGATTTTGAATAGCTGTCCTCAGCATTGTTAAATTTTCAATGGAAGAAATACAAAAGAATACTCCCTGTTTAGTTTGTTTGCAATTTTTTTTTTTTTTTTTGAGACAGATTCTCACTTTGTTGCCCAGGCTAGAGTGAGTGCCATCAGCCTAGCTCACAGCAACCTCAAACTCCTGGGCTCAAGCAATCCTTCTCCCTCAGCCTCCTGAGTAGCTGGGACTACAGGCATGCGCCACCATGCCTGGCTAATTTTTTCTATATATTTTTAGTTGTCCAGCTAATTTCTATTTTTAGTAGAGACAGGGTCTCACTCTTGCTCAGGCTGGTCTCAAACTCCTGAGCTTAAACGATCCGTCCACCTGGGCCGCCCAGAGTGCTAGGATTACAGGCGCGAGCCACTGCGTCCGGGCCTCCCTGTTTACTTTGTAATTTTAAAAGAAATCAAGTGAGATTATCTAAAATAGTGGCTACTATAATTGCTCTAAAATATGTACTTGAACTAAGTAAAGTACAGCGATTAACTTGCTCTTGGTCAATAGGTAAGCCAGAACCATAATTGTGGTTTTCTTACTGTTTTCAGTGCTTCTTGCTAGCCCAGTAGTAAACTGAAAAACTTCTAAAAAAAGCAGATTCTTTTGCCCCACCTCAGACCTAATAAGTCAGAATATCTACATCTGGATCCTGGGAATCTGTGTTATTAGAAAGCTCTTCAGGTGATTTTGATATAAGACCAGTCCTGTCTATAGACCAATCCTGGGTAACGATGGAGCTAGATTGCATTGCCTATTGTGAAATGAAAAAAAGGTAGGCTGATGTGAGAAAATAATTTTGTATTAGTTAAAATCGCCAAGTTAGTGCAAAATAAATGAAGATATTTAAAAAGAGTGTCCCTTTAAGTACATCCATGTTTAGAAAACTAAGCTGCTGAGAGCTAACACATGCTAGGTCTCTTGCCCAATCTTACCATTATAAAGGGCAATCCCTAAAAACTAGGAACTTTTTGGTTTGTATTGTTTTATTTTGCTTTTGAGAGGCCTTGTAGTTTAAGTTGGGAGCCAGAAACCCTGACCCTCACCTGAAAAAGTAAGCCTCAGCAATGATAGAGCAGAGGTACCATTGTTATCTTGGTGACTCTTTCCAGAGCAGTTCAATGAGTTACACCGAGAGCAAAGAGAATCTTCTGTAAGCTGTCTGGATGCTTTTTAAGAGGAAATTAAGAGGAAGGGTTCTGAGAACACATGATTATCCTGGCTCTCTCAATCTGGGAATTGTGAAAGGGAAAAATTCACATGAAATAAAAGGGAAAGCAAGTTTTAGGTATTAGGAGCCAGGAATGTGCTTGTACCTAGCTATAGCTTCAAATAATACCGTCTTGTACTTTATAGGTAGCTGACCTTATGTTGTGTTTAACTTCATAACCAGCTGATGAAAAGCTACATTTTCTCAAAGGTGCTTTTCTTAAATTTCATACCAGTTAAAGGGTTTAGGAGCCAATAGTAACCAAGCATAGGACCACTTAGGTAGAAGGAGATCAAAAATTCAGTGAAAACCCTTTGATAAGTGCTTTTTGAGGCCACAATGAACTCAATCAGATATGGCAGCCTTAAGTTCTTACTCAGATTACTTTTGGCCAAATATAAAACTTCACATTGCTGCTTTTGAGCCAGAGAAAACTGAAACTGCCTATCCCTGGAACACACAAGCTCTGCTAAGGGTTTCATTTGACTCATCTGCCTAATGTGATGGCCCTTGGAGTTGAAGAGGAATTTAGGGCTGACAGCCACTCTTGTGAATCAGGTTACCAGTGGAGCAGCAGGGGCAGCAAAGACTGACTCAGAAGTATAAGTAACATGAGCCCTTTAACCCCAAACATAAAAATATTCCTTTTAATTAAGTGAAAATAGCAGTTTACACATAAAAAAAACTGAATTATGATCTTTACATTTAAAAACTTAGAGAGGGCACATATTGAGATATTAACACATTGGTTATTATTTCTGGATAAAGGAAATACAGAGGTTTTCTTTCCTGTGCTTTAATCTCATAATTTTTCTGTTGCAAAACTAGATACTTAAAAATTTTTTGTTTTTATCGAGACAGGGTCTCACTATGTTGTCCAGGCTGGTCTTGAGCTAGCTTCAAGCAATCCTTCTGCCTTGGCCTCCCAAAGTCCTGGAATTACAGGTGTGAGCCACTATACCCAGCCCTGTTTTCTTTATGGATTTGTATTTATTTATTTATTTTTTTAAGACAGAGTCTCACTTTGTTGCCCAGGCTAGAGTGAGCGCCATGGTGTAAGCCTAGCTCACAGCAACCTCAAACTCCTGGGCTCAAGCAATCCTGCTGCCTCAGCCTCTCGAGTAGCTGGGACTACAGGCATGCGCCACCACGCCCGGCTAATTTTTTCTATATATATTAGTTGGCCAATTAATTTCTTTTTATTTATAGTAGAGACGGAGTCTCGCTCTTGCTCAGGCTGGTTTCGAACTCCTGATCTCAAGCAATCCTCCCGTCTCAGCGTCCCAGAGTGTTAGGATTACAGGCGTGAGCCACCTCATCCAGCCGGTTTTGTATTTATAATCCCTTAAATTATAAGGAACATGTATTAATTTTATAATTAAGGGGAAAAAAAACACCTTCTTTTTAAATATAAAGAGCATATTTATAAACTGAAAAAGATCCATGGAAGATCAAGATGGTGAAAGTCTAGATACAAGAAGAAAGAAGAGTTTGCAAAGTCTGTGAGAATCAAGGTTTAGTTTGGCAAAGACAACTCTTCGAGAGGCCTAAAGAATCTTCAACCTCTTTGAAGAGCTGCTAGCATAGGGTTGATGAATTATTATTTTGTATAGTTTCAAAGGGAAGAATCAGAATCAGCAGATACAAATTATAAGGAAGAAGAATGTTCTCATAGAAAGAAAATTATCTGACAATCAAGAGCATTCAAAAATAGAATGGACTGCTTGTGTGGTAGTGCTGTCCCATTTTGGAAGCTGGGTGACTTCCTGTCTCATTTCCTAAAGATAGACTTCATAAATAAGAGACATGACCAAGTGAACTTAAAAAACATAAAACAAGAAAACAGATACACAGTGTATTTCTTTTACTGTCCAAGTGTTTTGAGATTTTTTTTCTCTCAAAATCGATTCAAGTAAATACAATAAAAAAAAAAGTTGGAACTAAGATTTTGTCAAATTACTTGTCTGTACTTTTTATTTCACATGTAAAATGGGGATGATAATAGTACTTATAAGGTTGTCATGAAGGTTCAAAGAATTACCACATACAGAGCCTTTGGTACAGTGCTGACACATAGAGATCACTAGATGTTAGATGCAATTTTCATCATAACGTTTAATTAATGTGTTACAGGGAATTTGGTAAAGCAGAAATTTCAACTACTATGACCAACAGGTTCTGCGAGTATTTTTGGGCAAATGGTAGTAGGGTATGTTAGGAAACCACTACAGTAACCTTTATAAAATAAAAAATCTTTGATTAAGACAGATTATCTTCCAAATGAGGTATAGAATTCTACAGGGCAGTGGATGAAATTGCTATCTGCATTTTACTAGTACACAGCCACTTGCTTCTCACTGAGTTCCTAACAGATGTAGACACTTTAAGGTTTAGTTCATTGTTAGGTTTTGCCTTCCCTATGTGACAAACAGAAGAGCCCCAGAACGATAAATGTTTTTCATCATGTACAAAAATACACTAAGTATATTCAAACGCTTTCTTCTTGTTTGCTTTTTCTAGTTCGTTTTACCTGTCCTCTGAGGCAGATGGGCGAATAGTTGTTTGTAGTGGAGTGTGCAATTCATTAGAGTAAAAGCTGTTTGACAATATGTCAGATCCTTCAAGTTCTCTGCAATAGTAGGGCCTGCCATGGATTACCTCCATGTTCCTTGGCTAAAAAGGCACAATCTGGAAAAGAAAAGGAGGGCACATTTTGTTTGGGAGACAAGGCAGGCAAGAAACACGATCTGTACTGTTTAACTGTTCAACTCAACGAGGCAAAGAAATCAGGGGCTTCCTTAACTCACTGAAGCCCGTATGTGGACTCTCTGATGTCAAATCAGTAATTAATAGCGACTTAAGTTCTGTGGAAGTAAATTTCAACAGAAACACATCCACAGAGTGGAAAGTGTTTCCAAGTAGAGTCTAAATACTACTTGGTCCACACAAGCCTGCTACTTCGCAGACACCCACTCAAATCCACTTCTTGCCTCAAATTTAACCATAACTATTCAAGAAACACTCAGCTTATTTTTACCCCCGTGGTCCTTCTGAAAATTAAAGAGACTCATCAACCAACACAATCAAGAGCTGTCCTTGAAGGCTTGGGGGATTCTGGACAAGAATCCCTTTGCAGAGAGGTGGAGACCGAGGGGTGCAGTAGGAACGGAACCCCAAAGGGGATTCCTGGCTGCCGACTGCGTGGGTGAGAAACCCACGCCTCCCCCGGACTTGGGGGTAAAGCTGAGGAGGCGCTGAGGAGGCTCGGAGGTTGGGACTGAAGGTCCCGGGATCTGAGGCCCAGCCTCCGGGCCATCCTTACCCCGCCGAGCGGCGCCTTGGGGACCCCAACGCACCTGGAACATCAGCCTGGGAGTGCCACTGCACTGGACGGCACCTCCGCTTCTCCTCCCCAGAGCTGCGGGCTCCGTGGGGCGTGGAATTCCGCGGTCTTCCGCACCTGCGGCCCCGGAGCGCTGCTGGCAGGTGCGGGTGAGGGAGAGAGAGGGACCGCGGGCGGGCCGAGGGTGGGGTAGAGGGTGCCTGTGACGGCGACCGTGACCATGGCACTAGGTAATGCATGCCTGAGGGGCGGGGGCACCTGGGTGGCGGGCGGGGAGCCGCGGGCCGCTCTTCGAGGTCTCGGGAAAGCGGGCCCAGGAGCTCCGGGCCCCGCAACAATGGGAAGCAGCACCGGAAGTGAAGAGGAAGAGAGAGGCGCCCAGCCAGACGGCGAAATGGGCCCTTCCGCCACCAGCCACCTGGCCCCGCCCCCTTCACAGCCGGCCCCGCCCCGCGCCCAGGAGCCCTCTGGCGGCGGAGGCCGAGACTTCAGGTTCTCCTTCCCGGGCTGCCGGGTCGGAGATGTCCCCGGGCTGGGGCGTTCTCTCTGTGGACTGGGAGGGGGAAGAGCTCTGGTCCAGCGGAGACTGCTGGGGGGCAGGAGCGTCCGACCTGTCCTCCTCCCCGACTCACCTTGCGGGAATGGAGCATAGAGCGGCCAGGTCGACGGTGGGGTCTGCAGGCTTCTGCAAGCGCAGCCCCGGTTTAGCACCCAGAGTCAGCTCTGCTCTTCCTCCCCTGGCGGGTGCGGACGTGGCAAAGGCCTTTAGCTGCCCTTTCCCAAGGGCCTCGCCCCACCTCGATTACCTGAGGTCACCCCAAAAGAAATGAGTGCGAACCACGTTTCTGCACCTACCGGCACATGGCCATGAGCGCCTGTGATGGCGGAGGAAGGAACGGGAGGAAGGAAGGTTATTCTTTGGGTGTGCAAGGCTAGAACTGAGCAGAAGAAGGTGGGAGCGAGAGTGACCATCTCTGAGAAGAGAGGTATGACGGTGCTTTTGCCGTTCTCTGCCTATTTTACAACTTTTTATTAACCGACCAGTAGATATTCATTTTGTGCCACCCTCTAAGTGCGTGTTTCCTGGTGGCAGAGGAAAAGCGTATTGGAGGAGTAGGCACAGTGGTGATTTTGTAGTCGTGGTGTATTTCTCAGTCCTGGCACCTCTCCCAACCCGCGGGTAGTTAACACCTACCAAGCCCGACCAAGAAGATCCTGCTGGAGACAGAATTGTGAATTAAGTGACATTGGCTTTTATCTTTGACACCTTCACCCATCTTTTTTTCCCAATGTCTGGTAGGATTTTATTTTTCTTTCAGTTTTTGGTAGAAGTCCGTCCTAGTCTTATGCCCTTTTTGCTGCTCTTGTGTATCCAGGATCCCATTAAATTCTTCATCAGCCCCGCTCATTTCATGTCCCCAGCCTTCCAGTACTTTCCATGCTTCTCCTTTTCCTCATGTTGGACCTTCCTCGTGGCTTGATTCTTCCTGGAAGGAATAACTGAGCTTGGCAGATATAATCAGAGGCATCTGATGAAGATGTGTGTGTGTATGTAGACGGTGGTGACGCCCGGGGAAGTTGTCGCAACTCCAGGTTGAATGACCAGGATATGTGGTGATAGCCTGCAGGTTCTATTGGGTTTGAATTTCTTTTTAAATTTCCAATTAATTAATTAATTAACTTTTTTAAGAGGCAGGGTCTAGGTCCTTAGCACAGGCTTGAGTGCAGTGGTGCAATCATAGCTCACTCTAACCTGGAACTCCTGGGGTCAAGCGATCCTACCCCCTCAGTCTCCAGAGTAACTAGGACCATAGCACATGCCACCACAGGAGACTAATTTTTAAAATGTTTTTTTTTTTGTGTGTGGAGATGGGGGTCTCACTATGTTGCCCAGGCTGGTCTGGAGCTCCTGGCCTCAAGTGATCCTCCCTACTTGGTCTCCCAAAGTAATGGGATTACATGCGAGAGCCACTGCACCTAGCCTGAAATTTGATTTTATGACATATGAGTGTAAAGGATAGGAAATGTAATGAATTATCTTTATCCTTGTCATTTTTCAAATAAAATTTACAGGCAAGGAAAATTCATTGTTAGGTCTTTGTGAAACAATTGTACTCTTTGGAAATGCTTCTCCATCTGAAAGTTCTCAGGGTTATCAGGATTGGATCTATTTGTTTGACTAACATTATTTTTAGTTTTTGTGATTTAATTCACTCCACCTCAGCCAGCAGGGGATGTGTGTGTGTGACTCCAACACACAAAGTAGCTTCCTACCCAGGGATGCTGAAAGTGATTGACTTGTTCTGTATATCACGGCCCTTAGGGTCAGTTGCTTCAGATTGCCTTCCTTCTACTTCTGACATGTTAATCTCTCTCTCTCTCTCTTTTTTTTTTTACCACCTCACTTCACTAGTAATCCTTTAAACTGGAAAGACAAAATTTGGCAATGAAAATAATATACGGATAGAATACTGTATCTGAGTTGACAGAAATTTCCAAATCACAGCTAGACCTTTTATCTTCAGACAAAGAATGTATAGAAAGTATAATAATGTAAAGGGTGAATTATATAGTCTATAACCTTTCTTTTAAGTCTGTTATAGCAATCTTTAACAAAATGATATTTGAGAATGAATTAAATAAGCTTTTGAGGGACTCAGTATGAGTATTTTTTAAATGAAAACATTTTGGGTCTGATGCCTTGCCTAGAAGATGTATTGGGAAATCTCTTTCAGTAACTTTAAAATATGAAATTTTAAAAAATTGAATGGTTTCAGTATAGATATCTTCTTACTAAAATGACAATTAAAAATATATATTCTACTGGCTTTAAACTACAAATGAATTAAATGACACTTTAATATTATTATTATTATTTTTGCCTTGAGTAGCTAAGGAACTATGTGGCCATTTAGTAATGAACATTGACATGACATAGATACATATATATATATATATATATATATATATATATATATGTATGAATGATGTGCTTATTTCGTAAATAGTCCCCACTTGCCTAGAATGTGTCGGGGGTTGTCGCAGCGCCTACAGTCTATGAGGATGTGGAGCAGTGAATAGTCATAATCCAGTGACATAAGGGCATGACTGGGGGAGCTGGGGAGCACACTTGCTGTAGGAGTCCATAGCTACCTCACCAAGACCCTTTCCATTGTGACAGGAGAAAAAGGCATAAAGATGGGTGGGGTTGCAGGTTAATTTCTAAACTGGGGGAGGAGGTTGAGACAGGAAGTTGAAAAAGGTAAACAGGTCAGATGATTTGCTGAGAATGAGGGCAGAAGATGAGGTGGAAAGTGTGAGTAGTGGAGAAGGTTTGAAATAGTTGTTTTTTGGGAAAGGGAGTGCTTTTAGCAGAAAAGAATAACTACTATTTACCTAGAGTTGCCATGTTTTACAGTTGTACTTCCTTCACTTGCACCTAATAGCCTGGTTAGGTAGGTGAATGTGGTGTAATACAGAAGAGTAGCTGGAGACCTGGGGTTCTTGGGTGCACTGAATCAATAGGGAAAGAGTACAGGGGTTTCTTGTATTGGCTGGAATAATTGATCTCAGTTATTTAGGGAGAATGGGTTGCTGCTGTACAGTAGGCAAAGGGAAGATTCCGAGAATTCCCTGGGATTTTGGGGGGTGCCTTTTTGTTCATGTTCAAAGATAAAAGTTAATGGAAAACTATAGCAGCCCAATAAAGGCACCACCACTGGTTCAGATCTTTCAGGAATAAAGATTACTGTCCAGGTAAAAAAAACCTTTCCCTGGTACTGCCTGAGAGCAGGGGGAACGTGGAATAGATGGTAGAATAATGACATTATAACTATCAATTCCAGCCTCAGGAGTTACAGATGGACATGAGGACTGTAGGAATGCTCTGTATTTTCTTCCCAGCTTCTGCTGGTAACTAGACTCCAAAGATGGCCCCAGTGAACCACCTCCTGCCATTCATACTTGTTTTTAGCTCCCTCCCACATTTGTATGGGCTGGCTGGTCTGTCACTCGTGTCAAGCACTTAAATGCAGCAGAAGTGAAACTGTGCCAGTTCTAGACCAAGCTCTTAGGAGGACTGTCAGCTTCCACTTTCTCTCTCCTGGAACACTTGCTTTTGGGATCCCTGAGCCACCATGAAATGAGTGTACCACCTTGCTGGAGAGACACTGTGGAAACACTGCATGGAAAGGCAGAGAGGCTCGGTTGTTGGAGTATCCTGGTCATTCAAAGAGATGACTCCAGCCTCAGCTGCCATCTGACTGCAGTGACATGAGGGGCCCCCAGGGAAACCAGCAGAAGAACTGCCCAGATGATCTCAGCCAACCTACCAAATTGAGAGAGAGAAAATGGGTGTTCTTTAAAACCACCAAGTTCTGGTATGATGTATTTATGCAGCAATAGATAACTAAAATACTTGCCACTTATCTGTTTGCATACATTACATAATTTGTTCTCTCTCTTGGCTTCTATTTTTATATTAGGGTGCTTGTTAGTGGTTGACTTTACAATTTAGTACATAGAGTACAGGATATTTTGGTGAGACTGTAATTAATCTAGAAAAGGAAATAACATCACCCAGAAATGGATATGGTAACTATTAGGACCTTCTGGGGAGAGGATGATAGGATCCTCATTTGTATGGAAAATAATGGCATGTTTTAGGTGGAAGCAGGCCATATTATTATTGGATTGGCATTTAAATATGAGTAGAAATGTGTGCATGAATACTGACAGCCAAAGGAGTGGACTGTGCTGGTTATTTACCTATTGCCTTCACTTTGAAGCCCATCCTTCTGCAATTCTAGGGCAGAGATTTCTGTAAATTACACTTCTCAGACTCTTACTAGCTGACCTTCCATTGGATTCTGCCAATGGAAGGCACAAGGGGAGAGAGTGTGGAAGGCAGGAGGAAGGGAGAAGGGATTTCCTTGCTGCTTTCAGCACGCCTCCAGTGGAAAGCTCTAGCTCCAGCCTTCAGCTCCTTTCAGCAGTCCCCTGAACCAGCTTTGCTGTGCCCCTCAGTGGTACCAACAGCAGCCAACAGCCAGGTTACATCCATTGACATTGGGGGTACCAGTTATTCCTCACTCTTCATCTGATGCGCTTTGCCCTTGTATCATCTGTATACACTCACCAGGTCATGTCCCCTTTTCAGAGGTCCAAGTAC